AATTGCACAACCTCCAACTTTGTTTCTTTGAATGGATCAGCTGGCCAATTCTTGTACTTTCACTTGGTGAGGAGGAGCTATAGCAACGGGGGGCAATTATGGTACTCCAAATGTTTTAGGTCTATATCTCCCAACAACCCTAGCCAGTATGTGTTATGGCAGTGATTCCCAACCTGCCCGCAGAGGTATGAACTAGGACATGTAGAGGGATGCGGAAGAAAAAGAATAATGGTGGGGAAAGGCATATATGTCAACAGTGTAAGACAAGATACAAGTCAAAAGTTATGAAATTAATTGAATATTGTGATGAATTAATGGAGCAGATTTTCTTCATTATCTAACCTTGAGAAAAGCCCTGTTCCCTCACTTTGTAATTTTGGCAAGTGGCAAGGAGTCCCTCCCTAAACAATGTGTTGCAAACACAGTGTGCATGTTCAGTTATATGCCCCATACAGGATCAGCTTTCATTCTGCTCCACTTTGCAAACATTTGAGCGCTGTTGCTCCGGTACCAGTGTATACACTGTATAAGTGTATAGAAAACCTCAGTCAAGCCTGTGAGTCCAGCTACCATATTCATTGCAAATATTTTGTTAATATGAAGCGTACAGTTTAGGGAAATGGACTGCCAATGGGGTACACGAGTGAAAAATGGCTGGCAACCATTTCCTTATGGAAAAGGACTATAGGAATTAGTCCAAAAACATCTGGAGGGGGACTCAGCTGCCTTCCCATGAGGTAGACGAATGGTACTGATACAAGAAACTGTGTGCATTTAGAACTAAGGCAACAAGATGCTTCTCTGTCTTGCCTCTGTTGTGTATGCCACGGATGTTTTGCATATGATCATACATCTTCAAGAATTCTCTCACTGTAACCCAATTTCATTTAAGGGACTTCCTGTAATGAAAGACAATGGCTGAAATCCAATAGTAAGTTGCAACTAGACTTACACCCACTAAATCTATGAAATTTAGATAGGTGTTGGCTCACCAAATCCTCCCTGATTCAATGGGCCTTCTCTAGTTTCAAATTCTAACTAGATTCTAGCCAATAAGAGCTTTGAACTGTTTGATGGAAGCTGGGGAAAATGGATTCTTACAAGTATAGCTGAGGTTGATACACAAAGGACTGGCTAGTATGGAGTCAGAACAACTACCGTGTTTTCCTGAAAATAAGACAGGGTCTTATATTAATTTTTCTTCCAAAAATGCATTAGGGCTTATTTTCAGGGGATGCTTTACTTTTTTCATGTACAACCATCAATGTATATTCAAATACAGTCATGTCATCTTCTGGTTGCTGCGCAATGGTGGAGGGCGGGGTTTCACTTAACTAGGGCTTATTTTTGGGGTAAGGCTTATATTACAAGCATCCTGAAAAATCATACTAGGTCTTATTTTCAGGGAAACAGGGTACTTCCAGATGTTTCACATGGACAACTCCATTTTTCCCTTGTTAGCTTCCCCTGCAACCTCATTTCAACAGCCTGAAGAACTAATTGTATTTGTGCCATCAATCAGGAATTAGACAATTGCTGGAAGTACTGAAGTGCTTCTTTTAAATTTAATTTTAATTGTAAACTCTTTATGTTTATTGAGTTAAAAATTTATTTTTCTATGTGTATACTGTCTTCTGTTGTACACCACCCAGAGGGACCATTGATCAGATGGGCAGTTTAGAAGTATTATCAATCAATCAATATTTCTACTGAGAAAAATCTTGCAACTCTGCTATTCCTATAGCTATGGCAGCTGACTCTGGTTGTGCATAACTATAAGGATATGGTGATGAGGATAAAATAGATGTACTGGAAATAAGAATGCAAAACAAAATTTGCTTGAGATTGCTCACATTTGACAGATTTGTGGAATGGGAAGTATCAATAACCATTGTAACTGAATAGTCATCTAAGTTTCTATTAGCTTATATACTGCAACAGTGTATTTATCAATTAGGACTTACACATTTGATTTTGAAAAGCATACAGTATCTCTGTAAATATAGGGATCAAGTGATCCTAATAAATCATGTTGATTCAAAAGGATCAGCATGGTAACTTGCTGTTACACACAGAGAGGAATTTGGGAAAATGCAAAAGATTTACTTGTTTAAACAGGAATCATAGTCTATTTTGAGATGCTCATAATCCTTATAAATAATAGATTGTGATAGTTATTGTAAGAAGATAGGAGATAATGTAAGAAACATGTTCTCAGGTTTAAAAGCAGCAGTACGAGGAATACTGATAACTTTTCATTGATCTTACTTTACTGGGTCATAATTGTCTCTTATTACGAGCATTAATTTATTGATGCTGTTTTGAGAATACTCATAAGCCAATATTTCATGGCCATTTTTCCTCTGATCTGATTCTGACAAAATGTGAGAATATAGTATTTAGATTTTGCTCTCCCCAATATTTGGGATAATCATGGGATAGAATTACTGAAGTTGGTAATGACCTTGAAAAGCCATTCTAAATTCACTATCAGTGAATTCTGCACAGGTTAGCCTCAGGCATTCAGTTTGTGATTACAATGTTCCACAAGTAGAGAACAGAAGAAGCATGATTCCAAAAGTACACCAAGATCAAATAGGCAGTCTTTCTGTAGTACATCCACTGTGCTACTACTTGGCCAATGCTTAGTACCAGTGAAAAATTGAAGGGGCCCAGGGCAGTGTATCTTCAGCGCCTTTCCCTAACTTCGTTATGTTTCTTCATAAAATAAAAGTGTTAATGGCTAGGGATGCGCGAGTACCTCCTGATCTGATTTGTATCCAAATATTTGTTGCACAGATTGGGACTCAACTAATTTATTCTCCATATGTGTACAGTTCCACATCAGTATTGAAAACCAAATCACCAATGGAAAAATGAAGTGCTATGACATTGATGGGATGAGCCATTACACCATGCCATTAAATAGAACTGTTAAGAGTGCTTACATTTCAGACAGCCATGCAGTTTTTCAGGAATGTAGAAGAAACACCTCCAAACTAGGACAGGAATTTTTCTAAATAGCAAAGCGGCACAATGCTTGGCAAAGAATGTAGAGATGGGCATGCTGTGTAGGTGATTTTTCCAGCTTTCAGAAATATGCATAGGCAGGACAGAAGAAGAATATTGTTCCCAGGGATATAAAAAAAAGTACAAAAGGCCTAACCTGAAGAGAAAGGCTGATTTGATTTGAGAAATACTTGTTTCTTCGTATTACTGCCAAAGGTCTACAAAAGCAGCAAGCATTAGCACTTCTTCGTCGTGCACCAACAAGGAGAAAAGAAGGAAGAAAAATGTAGAAAAGGAAGAGAAGATAGCCCCTACTGCACTCTATCCAGTGCTCACTTCACCTAGTCTAAATGAGAAATGGCGGCAACAGCAGCTCCAGTGGCATATATATAGACACTGGTGACCTCGTTCTGAGCTTTTGAGAGGATTTCCAACAGTTGGACTTCTCGGGAGAGCTCCAGGGCTTCATTGTGGTTCCATTATCAATCTCTGTCTCTCTACTCTAATAATGCCAGACAGAACTTATATGATCTGTTGGAATGCAATGTGCTTCAACAACTGTAATATGTAGTCCTTTGGTACTTATTTAATCTTTCTTATTTAATTAGAATATAACAATAACAACAGCTATTAATATTGTATTCTCAAAGGCTTTCACAGCCGAGATCTGATGGTTGTTGTAGGTTTTTCGGGCTGTTTGGCCGTGCTCTTAAGGTTTTTCTTCCTAATGTTTCACCAGTCTCTGTGGCCGGGGCCTTTCGGGGGCACAAGACAAACAATTTGTTTTTCTGAAGATGCTGGCCACAAAGACTGGCGAAACATTAGGAAGAAAAACCTTAGGAACAGGGCCAAACAGCCCGAAATACCTACAACCTATTAATATTATTTTAAATTTTTTTTACAATGTTAATGAAGCTCTTAGAAACCTTGATCTTATTCCAGTATTCTTCATATTAATATTATTTTAATTTTTTTTACAATGTGAATGAAGCTCTTGGAAACCTTGATCTTATTCCAGTATTCTTCACACAAGGAATAACACAGATCCATTGTAAATCTGGCAATTGTTCTGATCCTAAAAGTACCAAAATTGCAAAGTACAAACATCAAGTATAAATGAATCAATTAAAAGATTATGGAAGCAAGGTCAGGTCATACTCTTGCCCATAGTAATTTCAGCAACCAGAGCTGCTCCAAAACCTTTGGTTATCAATTTAAAACAATAGTCATGGGCTGCTTCCTGAAATTCAAAAATCAGTGATTTTTGCAGGCACATTATCTCATGTACAGACTTTTAGGACTGCCTTAAACTCATGTTGCTCTTGCAAGTAATTTCAGGTTTGTAACCATTCCGTCTCCACATGTGTTCCCATGGAAAATATGCTTTGAATGGCAATTGATTTTAGAAAGGATGTTTGCTGGAACATTGACTTGAGAGAGAACACTTCAGCATCCTGTAATCCTGAGAGACTTATTTTGTGAAATTGTTTTTGCAAGGTTCATGAACAGATATTTAAGTAAACAAATAGCTCCATAGAACTTAAAAGTGTTCATAATGTACAGTATGTGTCACATAACTTGAGTTTATTTTAACATGTTGTTGATGCTGTAAGGGTGTCAGATTAATTCCTCATAAATATTACATTTTTCACTATGCTACTCTGCAGCCCAGTAGACCTATCTCCCAGCTCCATAACCTTTCCCAGTCCGTAGGAAAGCTTGCTATGGTCCTTCACAATGGAGCCTTCTAGTTCTCTCCCTTCCTTTCCTGCATTCCCTCTGCCTGTTTCTCCAATACTGCTTACGTAGTGGCCTCTGCAACTTGGATTTTCAGAATGCAAAGACTCGCTCATTCTAGAATCTTCATATTTTTATACCTCTCTGCTTAGAACATAGCATGGATTGAAACTGAACAACTGCTAACATCTTTTAAAGTTAAATTTAAATAGATACTTGCTGTCTTCTGATATTTTGAACTGTTTTGATTGCAGACATTTACAGCCTGGTGCAATTCCCACCTTAGGAAAGCTGGCACCCAGATTGAGAACATTGAAGAGGATTTCAGGAATGGCCTTAAACTCATGTTGCTCTTGGAAGTAATTTCAGGTTTGTAACCATTCCCTCTCTCTGCCTGTGCTCCCATGGAAAATATGCTCTGAATGGTCATTAATTTTAGAAAGGATTTTTGCTGGAACCCTGACTTGAGAGAGAACAGTTTGATCTCCTCTCTGTATATTCTGTAGTCCTGTTGAAAATGTTTGGGGGTGGTTGGCTAGTAGTGTGGCCAGGCTTTTCATCCATAGCCATTTCTTATTTGCTTGGGGTTCCTATACCTTGGTTTGTTTCTCTTCTCCAGAACCTAGCTTGGGGCTCCAGGGGGAAATAATGGGAGTTCTACCAAAAGATAGGGTGAAATGTTTTTAATGCTCTGTCAATGTGTCTGGAAACCAATAACTCCCCTGCTCAACTAAACTCAGGTAGCAAGTAAAACATGAAATAGCTGAACTTTACTTTCAGGTCTTGAACACAAGAAAAAAAATGATAGCCTGGTTGACTGTCAAAAATATTAAGTTTCTGGGCCTAATCATACAGACCATTTGAATTGTTTCTTTTTCCTCCTTTTTTATATCAATATGTTTGTATTTATAGTCACATGGTATATATATTGTTCACATGGCTTTCAGTTCAATTGGTATATTTCTTGCCATTTGTACTGGTTTTGTAGGCTACACATGACATCTCATATACATTGATTCATTTGCCATCCTGTTTCTGGATTCCTGCTGCCCTAAATTTCTTTCTTTCTTTCTTTCTTTCTTTCTTTCTTTCTTTCTTTCTTTCTTTCTTTCTTTCTTTCTTTCTTTCTTTCTTTCTTTCTTTCTGGGATTCATAAGTGATAAAAAGGTAAAGGTTCCCCTTGACAATTTTTGTCCAGTCGTGTTCGACTCTAGGGGGCGGTGCTCATCCCCGTTTCCAAGCCATAGAGCCAGCGTTTGTCCGAAGACAATCTTCCGTGGTCACATGGCCAGTGCGACTTAGACACTGAACGCTGTTACCTTCCCACCGAGGTGGTCCCTATTGATCTACTCGCATTTACATGCTTTCGAACCGCTAGGTTGGCGGGAGCTGGGACAAAGCAACGGGAGCTCACTCCGTCGCGTGGATTTGATCTTACGACTGCTTGGTCTTCTGACCCTGCAGCACAGGCTTCTGCGGTTTAGCCCACAGTGCCGCCACATCCCTTTTCATAAGTGATATATTGCTATTTAAGGAAGGGCAGTGTTAATTAATAGCACAGAGTATGAAGAAACAAAAAAGAGAGGCAAAACATACCCACCTAGGCAGTGCTTATACTGTATTTTTAATACTCTCTCCTGCCTTTTTAGCAGGCAATCTTACAAGGCCTCAATGTTAGTACTGGGCATGCTGGCTGGGGCATTCTGGGAATGCCTTCTGAAAGAAACAATATTTCCAAACTCTGCTTGAAATATGATTCACAAATCTGTTTTAGGGAGTGCAAACTGAAAAGTATGCTTTCTGTCAGAGTTTGCAGATGTAAAAGAGAAACTGTCTATAGTATTTGACCCCCTCTCCATCATTACTATCTTCAGTGCCCTATGGAAATAATTCAAAACCTCTGTGAGCTTAACCATCACTTCTCATAAGTAGCTATGAGGAGAGTGTGATGCATATTTTTTTTATCGCATATGCTTAGGAAGGATGGGTTCAAGGACTGAAAACTGCAAGTAGGAGCACAAAGAATGAGGAGTGTTTTCTGTCAGGAGGGAAAAAAAGTAATGGATTTGTTCAGTACTGTATGGGAGAGGGAGAAATTTGATGAAATAACCACTCTACTTCCCCCAAATGTTAAAGTGCTAAGAAGAAATAAACTAAAAAGGAAATATATAACCTTTAACATATTTTGGACAAATCTAATAATTTCACTCCGAGTTTTGCTGCTGCATCAAGAAATAAACAACAACAAGAAACTCCAAATATCCCAACCCACCTCAAACTAGAGTTACTTTTATCCATTTATTTACTCTCCTTCGGAATGAGCACAGGAATTCAGAGAATATGAAAGAAAGGTTTCTCTTTGATTCAAACACTCCCTGCAAGCCCGTTTAAGACATGAAACAGGCTGACTGGGGGGCAGAAATAGCCTTTAGTACTGAATCACCCCATTATCTGCCTGGTATTTGGCATGTGTTGTATTGGGTATATGGTACCTATTGATACTGAGTCTTGCTTTCTTACAGGGGAAAGACTTCCAAAACCAGACAGAGGAAAGATGCGTTTCCATAAAATTGCAAATGTCAACAAAGCCCTGGATTTTATAGCCAGCAAAGGTGTCAAACTGGTCTCAATTGGTGCAGAAGGTAAGTGGAAGATAGCAACAGCAAGGTATTAGCTTTCAGCTATGGTCTTAGCATCTTGGGAAGTGATTCAGGTTGGTACTTGGAGGGGAGACCACCAGAAACTCTGGAGAACGCTGTGTAGAGCTAAGCTTCAATCCTGCATGAAATCCTAGAGAGTCATTGCCATTCAGTTTTAGTGGTACTGAGCTACATGAACCAACCATAAGATTAAAATTACAGCAGGCCTATGATGTATGACCACATCATATTTAAAATATCCATTTTCTTTTACTCTAGAAATCGTAGATGGTAATGTGAAAATGACCCTCGGTATGATTTGGACTATCATCCTTCGTTTTGCTATTCAAGATATTTCAGTAGAAGGTAAGAATGTGCTCCATAACACTGCCCTCAGGTATTTATATCAAGAAGAATTGTCCTGAGTTGACAGGTTGTTAGGCTAATTATAGTTTTATTAACAGCACTGATCCCTGATGTGACAGTTTGTTATTACAGCTCTTCACTTGCTTGGTTTATAAGTAATCTTTTAGTATTGAAGGCTAGCCATGCTTATAGGTCTGCTTTGTGTCCCTTTTCAGCAGGGCAAGTAAAGCATCCATACGAAACTAGACCTTTTAAACATGAACGTAAAAGCCTTATTGTTTGAGTGGGTTTTTCTCCTCCTTCAGAGAGGTGAGGAAGATAAAGCTGTTTTACTTTTATTATAATCATCATCATGATCATTGTGGAACAGCAAAGCTGGAAGGGACCCTATGGATCACTGCGCCCAGTCCATCAGGGAGGCATAGTGTGGGGAATCAAACTCCCAACTTCTGGCTCCACAACCAGATATATATAGCTATCCTGTGCTCAGTGGTTTATATATCTGGTTGTGGATATATAAAAACATTTTGAAATCATCCTGGTACTGTTTCACTTCAGAGAGCAGACAGACATTTTTGTGACTGAGCAGCATTCACTATACATAATTATCTCCCTATCAGAAGCAAACTAGAACATCCAGGAGAGATTTATACTAAGACTTTATACTAAACATGAGAAGAGAATCTTAAAATTGTGCAGTCTTCTACTTGTGCTGCAAATTGATACAGTTCAAGGATAATTGCATCACATTATTCTTGTGAAGATGCCTGGTTACCACATCACTATGCCATGTTGAATTACTCGAAAAATCGGTGTATTTGATTTGTTGCATCAACTAGCATATCTGTACTACCACAGTGCCCTGCCTGTATGACATTAGATTCTTTTGGATTTGAGAGATAATAAGCACATCATTGAAGGAAGGCTTTCAGAATTGTATTTTAATCACAATGGCCAGATCCTGTTGCTTAGTATAGTAAATCATACTAGATTAGACCCACTGAATCAATGGGGATTTAGTGAACCACCTCCTGTATACGTTCTATTGATTTAAATGAGACCACTCGAATTGCATGGTAATCCACGGTTAGAGTAGACACATTTAAATTAATAGAACTTGTGGAAGAGTTCACTCACTAAATCCCCATAAGTTCATTGGGCTGACCCTAGTGCAATTTACTACACTAAACAATAGGACTTTGGCTAATGAAGTAGAAAAACCACAGTAGAAAATGAAGAGAGCCAATGAAGTAGAAAAACCATTCAGAATAAATGATCATAAAATTAATACAATAGCAGCAGCAGCATGGTGCAAAGCAACAGCACAAAATAATTCAACTACAGAGTAAAAGAATAACATTCAGCAATAAAATACAGGTCAAAGCAATATAAATGAGATATGACCTGTAGCCTTTCTACTTGCTGAGAGTCTCTGAGAATAGCAGCAGGGGGTTCTAAATACTGTACATGCATAGCACCAAGTTGGGAATGGCCTACATTTGAGGCTTACTCAACCAAAGACTTTATATCCATTCGGCTAACCTGCTGCTATTCACACTTAACATCTACAGCTGATTCTCATTTGTAATGCATTACTTTTAATTGCTGAAATGATGAGAGAGTAGCTCATTAATTAATACTGTGATAATAAAATACCTTACTAATTGGAAAAATGATAACAAAAATGTCTACAAAGCACTGACTAATGAGTAGAGTGATATCCCCTTATAGTCCCATTTCCAAGTATCTAAAGCCTCAGTCTAATATATAGTAGCCTTGACCTGAGACATCCAGAATAAGCCCATTCTTTTCTCATGCAGTCTTGTCATGGCTTTCAAAGGGTATGAAAAGACTAGCAGAAGCTACAAACAGACCTAGCTTCTAGAAGAGTCTCAGCCTAAGGAGAGTCAATAAAGGCCTCAGCAAAGATGAAAGGCTATAGGCAAAGCCTGGGCGTAGAAGAAATATCACACCTTCTCATTATGCCAAAGATGTTTTGAGACATTACACACAGTCAGTAGCTGCTGGAGTTTTTGTTTAAAAACTAATATTTGTGCTATTCGTGTTTGCACAAACTGCTGCACAATGTGTTGCTCAACAGACACACTGCAAATAGTGTAACTGCTTGTGTTTAGTTGCATAGGTGGAAATGTTCAACAGCATACTGGATCATGTTCTATCACTTCATATCTCCAAATAATACATTGTGAATATTTTTTCAGGCGAGCAAAGTGAGGAGTTAACATTTTTTACATATAATAAGGTAAAAATATCAATAGAACCCCATGGTGACTTGACTTTTGCAAACTTCTCCTGTCAGTAACAACTTAAAATGGTTATTGAAGTTTGCCCTAGACCAAGGGGATCAGGGTGGATGATGTAATTAAGGAACATGCACAAGACAGATACTGTGTAGGCAGCTTGCATAAAGGATAATACCTAAGTGCCCTTCAACTCTCAAGAAGACTTCAATATAACACATGACCCAGTAAATCAGACAGTTTGACTATGCCTTGGATGCACTTTCCCTTTTCAAGTGATGACTAGCCACTACATAATGAGTCAGATGATGATCTTGAAGTATCAAGTAGAAATGAAAGGAAAGGGCAGTAACTAAGCACTAAGAAAACATTTGCATTTGGTTGAGATTAATATTTGGAGAATGGTATTAGAGGTTGGACAGTAGAACTTATGAAATATAAATGGTATAAATGCTTACTGAAAAATTGTTCATGTACAACTCTGTTTTGGGGGAAATAGAGCATTTTGCTCTATGGAAGCATAAAATGTAGTCACAAGAAGGCGATTTCTTGAGTGGTCTCTGTTGTAGTTACTGTAGCATTTTTTAAAAATATGTCTCTTAAGAGTACTGTATTTATTTTAATAAACTAACTTGTAAAACATTCAAATTAGCGGCTGCAGAATCATTTAACTATGGACATGTACATGTTGCTTGAGCAAACAGATGTCCTTCATTGAGCAGCACAAAATGTAGCAAATTAAATGTTTCCTACGTTTCATTTGTTGACTTAGGGAATAATTATTCTTTGCAAATTTACTTTATCCTATTGAACTGTAGCAATTAAATCATTATTGGGAAAAGGAATCTATCATGCATTCCTGTATCCTTCCTGAATATGAATTATGGCTTTACAGATTTCCAAGAGAGAGATTTGTTCAGTAAATATCTGGAGGCCTAAAATTTGGGAGGCTTCACGATTTAGTATCTAAAAGCACAGTACCATGAAGGATGCATCCAAAAAGCAGCTTTGAGGGCAAATCTCTGTGCAGCCCCCTCTCCTTTTCAATATCATTCAATTCTGCTTCCCGTCCTATCTCCACAAACACCCACCATGCAGACAGTGATTCTAGAGAGCAAGTGCAGGCCATCCCATCTGCATGATGCAGTTTGATTGGGCAATTTGCAGGAAAGTATGGATTAACACATAGGCACTGAGCTAGAAATGAGCCAAGAATGAGGAAAGCAGGTCTCTAGATTATCACATTCATGCTGTCAACTGTCGTGGCTTCCTACAACTTCTAGTACATGTAGTTTGATGGTGGTGTGTAAGGGTGGTGTTTCTCTGAACCTTTTGCAGCAGCATTGCTTCATCCTTTGTGTGAATGTACAAACAAATAAGGAGGCTTTCCATTCATCTAGATTTCCATTTTGTGCAAACCAGAAGACAATGATTAATTATTCTGGAACAAACAATGAAACCATGGCTTTAGTGGGACCCACAATGGATACAGTGGGGTCTCTACTTAAGAACGTCCCTACTTAAAAACAATCCAACTTAAGAACAGCTCCATTTGCTAAATTTTGCTTCTACTTGAGAACAGAAATCCAAGATAAGAACAGGAAAAAAAACCTTTTCTGCTCTAATGCTTCAATGTACGAACGCACCTCTACATAACAAAAAAAAACAGCCAGAACAGATTAATTGGTTTTCAGTCCATTCCTATGGGAAATTTTGCTTCAACTTAAGAACGTTTCAACTTAAGAACACCATTCCAAAACCGATTAAGTTCTTAAGTAGAGGTTCCACTGTAGTTTCTATGGACGGAAAAGAGCAGATACGGATTAAATGGTTTTCAATGCATTCCTATGGGAAATGCAGATTCAACATAAGAACTTTTCAACTTGAGAACCACCTTCCAATGCGGATTAAGTTCTTAAGTAGAGACCCCACTGTATTACAAATGCGTGGGGGAAATATTTTAAAGTTTTTGATTAATTCAAAACTGATTTTGTCTATCACATAGCTGTTTTTAAATCTGGAAAAGGGAACAGCATTGTATAGCAGAAAACAATAATGTAATCACCTCAAATATTTTAATTGTTGAGCCTGTATTTGGGTAAGGAAGCAGTATATAACTATTAAAATAAAGAAAACTAACTAGGCATGTTTGCATTATAAAAAAGGCTTGGTGAATCCGTGTAATTAATTTCTTTCTGGGATTCTTCTAATCACTTATTCTTGTAAATGAGGCACCATGTATTGGAAGAGAAATTCAGCTATCTTATTTTGTAAGAAAGGGACATGAAGTGTCATTGGGAAGGTTCCGGGATCATCTGTCTTTCCCAACTGGATGAACATGTTCATGAACAATGTTCTGTTGCACAGTTTCAGGGAAACATAATCTGCTGAATTAAACACATAGTACCCATGTATTCAACGATTCCATGGCTTCTGGGGAACCAGCATGCAGCAGCCTTGGCTTGGAGTTCTGATACTTTGCTTATGCCTCCCTCTTTGCATTCTCTTCAGAGACATCTGCCAAAGAAGGGCTGCTGTTGTGGTGTCAGAGGAAAACAGCACCTTACAGAAATGTGAACATTCAGAACTTCCATCTTAGGTAAGACTAATGCTTTCCAAAATAATCTCACTAGCTGTTGGGCACCTGAGTTTTGCCATCAGTTTCAGAGAGGGAGGAGAGAATACCATGTGGTCCTTACAGTTTGACAGCAGGCCAGTTCTTACACTAAGACACACTGTGTGATTTCCACTCTGTCATGGGTTCTTCTGAGCTGACTCTCGCAGATAAAACCACAGGGCCATGTTGGAGGAGTGAGTTAGTGATGGTTTTACTTCACCTACTAGTGCTGCTGCGTCTTGGGGAGTGAAGTATGCTAGTGGGAGGAGTAACCATATTATCTCCAGAGTGGCAAGGGTACAGCCAAAAAGGACTGACAACTTTAATTAGCTTGTGTGGGCTGGATACAATGACTATCAGGTGGATACACAGTTCATTACAGAATTATACTCACTCAGAGCTTGTCAATGGCTCCTTCTCAAACTGGGATGAGGTAATAAATGGGATACCACAAAACCCAGTCCTGGGTCCTGTGCTCTTCAACAGTTTTATTAATGATTGGATGAGGGAGTTCAGAGAATGCTTATCAGATTTGCAGATGACACAAAATTGGATGGAATAGCTAATACCTTGGAAGAAAGAAACAAAATTCAGGATCTTGGACTTCAGCAAAGCTTTTGACAAAGGGCCCCATGATATTCTGATTAGCAAGCTAACTAGGTGTGGGCTGGATATATCAACTGTCAAGTGGATACACAGTTAGCTACGGAATCGTACTCAAAGGGTGATAAATGATGGCTCCTTCTCAGACTGGGAAGAAGTAATAAGTGGGGTACCCCTGGGCTCAGTTCTGGGCCAAGCGATATTCAATTTTTTTTACTAATGACCTGGATTAAGGGATAAAGTGAATGCTAATCACCTACAGTGGTGCCTCACAAGATGAAAATAATTTGTTCCGCGAGTAGCACTACCTTGCAAAATTTTCGTCATGATAAAAATGGTTTCCTCGCAAGACGAATGAATTATTTTAGCACTATCTTTCAAAATTTTCATCATGCTAAAAACGGTTTCCTCGCAAGACGAATGAATTATTTTTATCTTGCAAGGCATCAGTTGTGGGGGGAAAAATCATCTTGCGAAGCACGACTATAGAAGAAGCTGTCTTGCGAGGCACCACAGCGATCGTAAAACCCATTCGTCTTGCGGGTTTTTTGTCCTGCGAGGTGTTCGTCTTGCGAGGCACCACTGTATGAGGATGACACAAAATTGGGGGGAATAGTGAACACCCTGGAAAACAGAAACAAAATTCAAAGTATGAGGATGACACAAAATTGGGTGGAGTAGTGAACACCCTGGAAAACAGAAACAAAATTCAAAATGATTGAGCATTGGGCTGAAAACAACAGAATGTAATTTAACAGGGATAAGTGCAAAGAACTGCACCTATGAAAAAGAAACCAAACACACAGTTACAAGATGGGGTATACCTGGCTCAGCAATATTACGAGCGAGAAGGATCTTGGAGATGTTCCAGAATATAGGCTGAATATGAGCCAACAGTGTGGCTAAAGAAAAGGCAAATGCTGTTTTAGACTGCATTAATAGTAGTATGGTCTCCAAGCCACATGAAATGCTAGCTTCCCCCATTCAGCCCTAGTTAGGTCTACATCTTGAGTACTGTGTTCAGTTCTAACACTGCAGTTTTAGAAGACAAACTACAACAAATTCAGAGGAGGGCAACAAGGATGACAGCATCTGAACACCAGGTCCAATCCACTGAGAACTTTGGAAAAGTACTTAAATGTTGTTTGTTTTTCTAGGCCACTGAGATATGCTTAATATTTGGCTATTTATTTATGTACGTATTGGTTTTTGGCATGATGCTTACACCAGAGGTCCCCAACCTTGGGCTTCCAGATGTTCTTGGACTTCAGTTCCCAGAAATTCTAGCCAGCAGAGGTGGTGGTGAAAATGTCTAGGAGTTGTAGTCCAAGAACATTTGGAGACTTCCACAACTTGTTTTCCTGAGCTACTTTGTGTTTGTAATATCAATCTGAAAAACAGGCAGGTGAGAGACAAGATAGAATTAAGACACACCACCATCCAGCAGAGTGCATTACTGCTAGCAGTTGTGGCGTCTTGGTGCATGTAGATGTGATAAAACAAACTAGAGATGGTTTGGTGTTTCGGTGAAATTTGTTTCTCGGCCAAATAGCTGATCTGCGGTTCAGCACCTCACCCCCTCGGAGGCAGGAGGAGGAGGTGAAGCGCGGCGAAAACGTGCCCATCTCTAAAACAAAATCTTGTCTATTCACTGTGTAATAAATTATGGATGGGATTTATCCTTCATAGCCATGACCAAGCCAGTCCTAAAATATCTATGAATATCTATGTCTAAAGTATCACAACATTTTGGCTGTTCATTGAAAGCACAACCAACCCATTGCCTTACCTCTGCCTCTGCTATTATCTTTTTAGTATATACTTGAATCAAATTTAGCAAAACAAATCACAGCACACTCTGGAATTACAGTGAATTTTATGAGAGGTCATCAATGGGCATATTGTGTAGCTTCTGTATGGTACCAGCTCCCCAGCTGCCAGATATCATTATTCTTTCATTAACATGTTTCCATTTTTATTTTTGGCTGCTTATTGTGAAGCTGGAAAGACGGCCTTGCCCTTTGTGCACTTATCCATAGACATCGACCTGATCTCATTGACTACTCCAAGCTATCTAAGGTCATCAATCTGGGTGACATGGCATGCAGATTTGCAGTGATCTGGCTCACTTCCCCTATGCTCAGCATGGCTCTTTAATATTAAACTCAGTTTTAGAAACTAACATATTAATATCAGTTAAGTAACGAATTATGCTGGAAATTTGCTACTGGAAAAGGGCAGCTTAATTCACCTCTTTAAAATGAAACAGATTGTTTATATTTTTGTGTTAATGTTTGTTCAGAATTAACCTAGTGTTTGTGTTATCTTGGCACGTTTTTGGGTTAGGGAAGCTGTAGAGTCCAAAGTTAGCGGAGAACTCTTTACAGATAATCTAGAAGTGGCAAAGCTCAACTGCTCTGGACATTTCACATCCATGTCCCCATCGAGCCATGAAACTCAATGGATGCCCTTGGGCAAATTCTTCTCTTTCAGCCTGACCTTCCTTGGAGGGCTGCTTTTAAGATGAAGTGGAGAGGAACACAGCCTAACACTCCAGCCTAATTCACTGGGCTGGGGCTGGGGTGGTGGAATATAAATGTAAATAACAAATACTGTAAATAAAAATCTATCCAAACTCTAATTGAGCAACAAATATGTAGATGCGTATCTATACATCTGGGGTTGATCTGGAAGTTAACCCGGGATAAAAAATCATGGGTGACTTTTAGTGTGTTGGAAGACACCAGTGAGATTTCAGTGTTGTAATATAATGTAAATTTGAATTGTTAAAGAGGTTAAAAACAATGTAACAAAATTGTTACATAATCAAATTAGATTCTTAAGCTTATTAGCAATTAACTTAGCATGTTAACTCTCTTCACTTAACTGCCCCATCTTTGAGTAAACTGAGTACATTTAGCAACTTTAAATGGACTTCCTTTCAGGCTTCGATCCAACAGATGGATATGAGGCAAGATATGGCCCTAATGCACTAAATCAAGCTGTGTGTCAAAAAGGAGGATGAAAAATACATGAAAAATAACTTACTGTCTGAAATCCTGCTCCAGAGCTGAACAGCATAAGGCTGATGATGCCCCCAGCCGCTGTGTTTTCTCAGAAATTAAAAAAGTCCACTCAGCTTCTCCAAAGGCCATAAGGTTTTTATGGAATCTTTTTCCTCAGTGGGAAGCTGTTGAAGAATGCAGGACAGTTGGGAGTTTAAGTTCAAAAATTCACTGCCACCAAGATAACTTTTAAGTTTTCTAAAAAATTAGGAGGGGAAATTTTCAGCCCTTCCACAAGCCTTTCCTAAGGACACTGGACTTGTTTGTTTGTGTGTGTGCGCGTGCGTGTGCGTGTGCGTGTGCACAGTTCTCAGACCTTTGGATATTGCTCACTCTTGCCATAAGCTAAATCCTTCCACACAGGTTTTCCAAGTATGAAAGTATAGGTTGTCAGAGAAGTGCAGAATGATAAACAATGCTTTGTTTATTTGTTGGAACAACCAGAACACAACCGCTAAACAAGGATATTAGTGGTTAACTGTAATTTCTGCTTTTTGTCCAGGATGACCCACTGGGAAATATAAACCTTGCTATGGACATTGCTGAAAAGCATTTGGATATTCCAAAGATGTTGGATGCAGAAGGTAGGAGTTATAACTAGGAAGCTAAACACAGAGTAAACATTCAATCTGTTTTACTTCCTTATATCATGAAAAATAGATCTCTTTATAAAAGTTTCATTAGGACCCCCATATATATGGGGATCGGTTCCATGATCTACCATGGATGCCTTCAAACCTCAGATATGAGGGAATCCTATATATCAACATACAAGGGAGTGGAACAAAGGCCACAAGGGGTCACCTTTGTATGTTGTATATAGAGCTGCAGCAAACTATGGATAAGTGAAACTGCAGATATGGAGGTCCTACTGTATTTATCAAAAACTATGTCACTTGTCATTTCCTATATATACCACGTACATATGTTTAAACTTTATTCCCTTCTGGACTTTTTTCCAATAGAGGAATCCAAGATTGCTTACAAAATAGTTTTAAAAAATACATATGGCTAAATTGTAACACAAAAACTCAGTTAAACATATTCACTAGTATCCTGCTGCTTATTAACTACATGTGGAATGTTCCATAAGTTATGGCGTGAAAGGGTGATGACATTATCCGTGGCAATTTTTTTAAAAATTAAATTTTAATTTCTGATTTTTTCCTGAAGGCTTGAAGTCTCCCATATCATTATCAGGAAGTCCAGGAAGCCTTGGCCACTGTAGGACTGGAGATGGGAGGATGAATCATACATGAAAAATAACTTACTGTCTGAAATCCTGCTCCAGAGCTGAACAGCATAAGGCTGATGATGCCCCCAGCTGCTGTGTTTTCTCAGAAATTAAAAAAAACCACTCAGCTTCTCCAGAGGCCATAAGGTTTTTATGGAATCTTTTTCCTCATTGGGAAGCTGTTGAAGAATGCAAGACAGTTGGGAGTTTAGAATTATATTTTTTTTTAGAATTAAATTACCAAACATTTAATTACCAAACATCACTACAATCATTCTGGCAGTGGTGATTTTTGACAATTAAAAACTTTTCCCTCCTCTGTCTTGTGGCTCCCACAGTTTCTCAGTGGTGAAAAGGATTCCATGGGAGCCTGGGGACCTTGACGTGAAATGTTTACATTCTAAAAGGTTGCTCTGCTGCCGCTGCCGATGATGTCATCAGCCTTATGCAGTGTAACTTACGGCAACAGGATTTCAGACACTGTGTTAAAACAACATAAAAAGCAAAACAAAAAGCACAGCCTTCTCATTAAAAGCCCCTCCCTCTGCAGCCCATTGAGTTCCCCAAAGCTTGCCTGAAGAGAAGGCTCTTTGCCTGCTATCAAAAAGACAAAAGAGAGGTCCTTAACCTAGCTTCCCTTGGGGGTTCCACAGCCTGGAAGTAACCATCAATATGTGTCAGCCATCATTTACTGTCTTTCTGATATCTCTCTCTCAGAGTGCAGGTAGTTGCCCTGGGCACATACTTCTTAGAGGCTGTCATAAGTCAGCAGTCTACGCTAGCTGGGAGGGAAGCTTGAAACCACTGAGAAATTATCTGTTAACAATGAACTGGGTCTGACACTAGGCTAAATGCATGATTCGGGAGTCTTTCAGGCTTTAGGAAGTGCCGGTGGAATTAAGCTACATCTTTATCAGGCTGAACATGGAGCAAGCCCATGAGAAGAATTATGAAGAAGAAAATTACTGTGACTGAGAACCATGCTAGACATGCCATTAAATGTGCTATTGAGAATTACATTGTATTTTTAAATTAATAGCAGGTGCTGGGTTAATTCTTTTGTTGTACACTGTAGTCCAGATGAAAATGACGAACATTAACACCTAATGAACTTCTGAATGAAGTGTTAGGCCATTCAGAATGATTGAATAGCCTTTAGCTTTTCATGATGGTTATGTTGAGCTGGCATCTGGGATTGGTTCCTATGATCTTTCAGAATTGCTTCTTAAGGAAATAAATACAGTGGCTTCCTCTGAGAGGAGGCTCAGCATCGCATCAGTTAGCTGTCCGGAAAACAGCACCTCAACAGGATCTACCATGTGAAAGCCTCTTAGAGTCCCCTGTGCCAGGTGACGCACTCTGGAGCTGTCTTTTTAGAATTTCTCCAACACAGCGTCATTCCAGGGAACTGTAGCAACTCTGCCCAAGGTTGACTGCAGTATGGTTGGGGTCATCATCTGAGTCTGAATTACGACAGGCAACCAAAGGACACTTTGTCAAGCGGCTCTTAGAGTCAAATGGATTTAAGCACGATAAAGCAGGGAAAGAAACGGGGACCCTCCACATGCTCTAGATCACTGGTTCTTAACCTTGGGTTATTCAGGTGTTTTTGGACTGCAACTCCCAGAAGCCTTCACCACCAGCTGTGCTGGCTGGGGTTTCTGGGAGTTGCAGTTCAAAAGCATCCGAGTAACAAAGGTTAAGAACCACTGCTCTAGATAGCACATAGCACAAATGGGAGACTGAGTGTCAAGTGGTATAAAAATATTGGCAGTGCAGATTTTATCATCTACAAAATTCAGGCTCGATGCGTTTTGGCTGTGACCTTTTTCAGGAATGAAGCATAAAATTAAAAAAATATATTAATTTAGAAACAGTGGCTTGGGAGAAGTGCAGCTCTTTTTTCTTGTCTATACAGTTAATAATATAGAATATTAATGAATCTGCACATAACAAGATCAGTAAACACCTAGTGCAGATTAATGACAGCATATAAAATACATACCAAGTCTATACCAGCTCTAAAGGTCTTCCCTATATACTGTACAATTTATCACAAGGACAACTTATGGCATAAATCACTCCCTTAGTATTGCAGCTGACCGGTTAAGACAAGGATAGGAGAGCAATTGAGTAATTTAAGAAATAGAAGACTGGCTATTCCTCTTGTCAGCCCCTTCATAGAATTTAACCACACAATAAGAGATTTAATATTCTGGGTCATGGATATGGTTCCTGTTAAGTATGAAAGGTCCTTACTGAGAAGGGAAATCAATTGGATATTGAGGTTGGACACTTTAGCCTCTTTCGGGCAAATTGAAGAAATAGATTCCTTGCCTTTAATGCCTTGCTGATTATCTAACTCCCTGACTCATCTGCCAGCTGAGAAGAAGTAGATACCATCCCTTCTGTATTTGTACTTTGGATCTTTGTTGGAGCTGGTATAGACCAAACGAGATGCTAAGATTCTAACATTCTAAAAAGCTTGGTATGTATCTTATATCCTGTCATTAATTTGTAGTAGGAGTTTACTGGCCTTGTTATGTGCATATTCATTAATCATTTATATTGTTAACTGTATAGATAAGGAAAAAAAGCTGTAACTGCCCCAAGCCAGCTGTTTCTAAATTAATATATGTTTTTATTTTATGCTTAGCTCCTGAAGAAGGCCACAGCCAAAAGGCTTTGAACCTGAGCTTTTTAGATAATAAAATCTGCATTGCCACTATTTTTATACATCTTGAGATTCAGTCTCCCATTTGTTCTTTTGCCACCAGTGGATGTACCAGTTCCCTCTGCTTTGCTAGGCAGCACATAAACAGTATAACTAAGGGGGATTGTAAAAACTGCAGTCTAGAAACATCTGACTGGTGCATGTGCCCATCCTTGCATTAATGCCATTTGCTGGGAAATAGAAGCAGACGGCGTTTTAAAGAGATGGCCTTTGTCAGGTAGAAAAATGCAAACATTAGTACAATCTATGATCAAATGTTTCCAGAGACGATGAGTGCTTTAACCTTTCACAAGAAGGCTCAATTAGCCAAACAGCATTCACTAAATCAGTGTCTCTGTGTTGATCACTCTTCCAGAACATGGTGTCCTGAAGATGTATAAGGATGCAACTCCCATAATCACTTAACCAACACAATCATTTCTATATGATAGAAGTGGTAGTACAACACAAAGCACAGTGTGGGGTGCGTGCGCATGTGCACGCACATGCACACACATACGCATGCAGGCACGCACGCGCGCGCGCGCACACACATGCCAGTATCTCAAAATTAGGATGGCTGTAATGTGAGGGATCTGTTGCCTTATTTCATTGCTGACATGATTTGTAAAAGCAAAGAAAATATTTGGATTCGCCATATCTCAGTCTGAGTTTTAATATTTCCCCTTTCCAGCTGACACATATAAATGTAGCAGGTGATTAATTTCAGCTTTGCAAAAGAGCTGTGCTGCAGGCCAGCAGCACCCAGCTTGCCTGCAGAAAACAAATCAAGATGATAGTTACAATTCCCTTGCTTTCTCCTGTGCCTCAACACCTTGTGTTTGTTTTATTTCTCCTCCTCTTGTAGATATTGTGAATACCCCCAAGCCTGACGAGAGAGCGATCATGACTTACGTTTCCTGCTTCTACCATGCATTTGCTGGAGCAGAGCAGGTACTTATCGTTCATCATCCCCTTTGGGCTGCTGTATATTTTCTTTCTGTGTGCTTTAGGTTTCCACTAGGGTTTTAATTTGCCCCAAAGTCTCTTTGTTTCAAATTCATGCTGACAAATAGATGTTGCTTTGTTTTGCTTATTCATTTTAATCGGAATTAGCTTTTAGATCTGATGAAAAACCAGACACTACAGTCTTCTTTTTTCTGTAAACTTTGCACAGAAAATTCTAATCAGTTCTACAAAATCAGTCACCATATCCTCACATCAATATTGAGAAACAATTTGTTTGTGGTAAAAAGGCAATTTATAGGAAGACAACACAATAATCCATTGCTTTTATAATGCATTTAGATTATATGAATCACTCAGATTATGTGTAGATGTTTTAAAGGCAGAGGTTTCAGATTGTGACCTAGGGAAGCTTGAAGTTTATGAGAAGGGTTGAATTTATGGAATTAAAGGACTCCTAGTTCCATAATTCAGTGAGACACACACAACCCAGTTGAATCCTAGGACTGAAAGCCTTTAAACCCACAGGAGGTAAAATATCACCCTCATCCCCATTCTGTTCCTGCTCTGGTTCTTTGAATCATTAGAAAAGTGGTCCACAGCACTGTCAGTGTTGCAAGGATCCCCTGCAACTCTCAAAAGTGCATGGGGGGATGAGTACCAATGGAGGCAGCCCTCATATAGAGTGTGTGGAGGCAGCTTCTGTCAGAACTTGTTCCACCTTGTGATTCCCACAGCGCAGTGGGCCACTTTTCTAACTGTTCACAGAACTGGTGCAGGGATAGCATGCAGGTGAAGATGGTGCTCTTCTACCTTGTGCTAGTTTGAGGGTTTCCAATCAATATAGTTGCACAATGTAGTTAAAGTTTTTGCCCCTGAAATATTCTTGCTTTTTGTGAGTGAAAAGTTTGAAACATTTTAATCTTTTGCTTCATCTCTTTTTCTCTCAGGTATTTAACTGTTCACAGAACTGGTGCAGGGATAGCATGCAGGTGAAGATGGTGCTCTTCTACCTTGTGCTAGTTTGAGGGTTTCCAATCAATATAGTTGCACAATGTAGTTAAAGTTTTTGCCCCTGAAATATTCTTGCTTTTTGTGAGTGAAAAGTTTGAAACATTTTAATCTTTTGCTTCATCTCTTTTTCTCTCAGGTATTTATTTATTTATTTATTTATTTATTTATTTATTTATTTATTCATTCATTCATTCATTCATTCATTCATTCATTCATTCATTCATTCATTCATTCATTCATTCATTCAT